GATGGATGGATGGATGGATGGATGGATGGACGGACGGACAGCTGGGTGAACGATGGATGGATACACAGGTGGGTGGAGGGATAGATGATGGATGGTTGGATGGATGAAGGAATGAAGGAACGGATGGATGGATGGGTGGATGGATGGATGGATGGATGGATGGACAGACAGCTGGGTGAATGATGGATGGAAACATGGGTGGAGGGGTAGATGATGGCTGGATGGCTGGAGGGATGGAGGGAGGGATGGAAGGATGGAAAGATGGACGGGTAAGTGGATGGATGGACAGATAATAGATGGTGGATAGAGGAAAGGATAGGTGATAAAGGGACAAATGGATGGTACATGGACAGACCAAACGGATGGATGGAGCATGACTGGGAGCATGAGGAACAGAGGAAGTGTGGTGGACCGACAGGTGAATGAAGGAACAAATGATGGGTACCTAGCGTATGCAAAGATGGATGGAGGGACACAAAATGGGGAGCAGTGGATGGTGGGTGAGTGGATAGAGAGTAGCTGTACGAATGATGATGAAATCATGGATGAATGAATAATGATTAACAGATTGATCGATGGATGGACAGATGTGGAGAGGTGATAGATGAGTGGGTGGCAGACGGCTGGACAAACAGATGGTGGATGAATGGACAGTTGGATGGTAAGTGGATGGATGGATGGATGGATGGATGGATGGATGGATGGATGGGTGATAGGTAAGTGGATGATGCATGATAGATTAATGAATGGATAAATGGATGGTAGGCGGATGGACAGACAGATGATTAATGAGCAGACGGTAAGTGGATGAATGGGGGAGTGATGGGTGGGTAATAAAAGGTGGACAGGTGGATAGATGGACGGATGGCTAGATAGTGGACAGAGAGATGAGAGATGGGTAGATGGAGAGTGGATGGACGGACTGGTTGGTGAGTGAAGGCTGAGTAGATCGTGGATGGATAGATAGATGGTGAATTAGTAGATAGATGGGTGGTAAGTGGATAGATGGCTGGAGGGAGGGAGAAGGGACGGAAGAGGAATGGGTGGTGGGTTAATGGAGAGTGGATGGACAGATGGATAGTAGGGAGATAGATGGAGGGACTGATAGATAATGGATGGGCGGATAGTGACAGATGATGAATGTACGACTACACAGATGGTAGATGGACAGATGGCTTGGTGGGTGACAGAAGAGTCGATAACGAAGGACTAGCTGAACAAGGAATGAAAGGATGGCTAAATGGATGGTGGATGGATGGGTGGTGAATGCACAATGGACAGGTGGATGGATGTCAGGTGGATCGATGCACTAACAGACTAGAGAAGCAGGTTGGGAGGGTGGTGCGTGGCCACCCGCAGGCCTCCGCTCCCCCAGCCTTCCTTGACTCCACTCTGCCTCCCTAGGAAGCTACTCGGACATCTCTCCTTCCTCAGTCCTGTAAGGGATCCCCAGGGTCTCAAGTCCAGGTCCTCCCCGCACAGCTGAACTCCAAGTCTCTCAAGGGTTAAGAATCCAACCCTTGGCCTCTCCACCTCCATGACATGGCTGTAGATAGGCAGTGCCTAGTAAACGCCATCTGGGTCTTACACTGGAGTCAGCCAGTGTTTCTGGAGATAAAAGGTGGCCTCACCTCTTTCTCACCAGGACCTGGCAGGGTCTGTTGTTGATGGCAGTGTCACTCCGATGACGTCCCTGGGTGGAGAATGGTCTCCCTTTCAGGCCACAACACTAACCACACCGCAACTATGCTCTCAGCCACGCCCCCATCTACCCACCACTGTCCCTCCATGCTCCAGGTCACGCCCCAACACCCATGACCACGCCCATTGCGCCCCGCCTTCCTGACACGCCCATCCACACTCCAGGCCACGCCCCGACCCCCCTCACCACGCCCCTCCTGGCTCTGGGCCACACCCCAACCTCCCTGGCCACGCCCCACCGGGCACGCCCCTGTCTACATGACCACGCCCAACCACCCTGACCATGCCCCTCCACGCTCTTCCCCTCCACACCAGCCACGCCCCTGTCCACATAGCCACGCCCCGAACCTCCATGACCACGCCCCGACCTCCCTGACCACGCCCACACACGCCTTTCCCCACTCCACACCAGCCCCTGTGGCTCACGATGTCATCCACCAGGTCGCGGACCGCACGGATCACAAGCAGGCAGACCAGCGGGGTGAAGAGTATGAACCAGGGCAGCGTGGAGATCTCGGGGATGCTCTGCCGTAAACGGGCAGTCACTCCAAAGCCCTCTGGGGGAGTCCCCTGACCACCACGCCTTACTCGCCCACCAGTCCTAACTATGCTCCGCCCCTCCCCTTGGGAGCGGTAGCCATGTGACCCACCCACTGACCACCAGGCCTTGCTCTGACCATTTCCGCACACGAGACCTGGTACTACGTCCTCAACCTGCTCCCAGGTGACCCCTCCGGGCAGCAGCACAGCTCCAGCTTGTTGCCTCACGCCTCCCCTCCCCTTATAGTCCTTCAGTGAAGTGACCTTTCCCCCCACCAGACATTCAGCCGCCCTGAATCTGAGCTGTACACAGTAGGTGCTCAACACATGTATTTGGGCTAATGGAGAAAAGCGGCCTCCTTTTACCCATAGCAGGGAAAGTCTCAGTTGCTGGGTTAGGTGGGGGGCTGTGGGAACAGCCTCTATCCCTGATAGGGTTCCCAGGTCAGGGGCCCAGCGGCTCCTTCCTGGGGACCTCTGAGACTAGTCAGGTAGTAGAGGGGCCAGTCCCCCAGGGTGTCTTCTCCAGATTCGTCAACATACATGGAGACCCTTCTGTGTGCTGAGCCCAAAGAAGAGGGTCCTCCTTCAGGGCGGTCCTAGTAGGTGGTCCCCGACAGCCCCTGGGGAAGTCCAGAACTTGGGGAGGGAACCTGGAGGTGGTAGCTTCTCCTGCTGCCAACCCCAGAGAGGGCAAGGATGGGCAGAGGGACGGGACCACGGAGGCTGGCCCTTGCCCCTAGACGGGCCCCAAAGCTGGCTCTGAGCTGCCACCGGGTGTCTAGGCTGGTCCTACAAATAGCCCTGGCCCCCCTCTGGCCCCAGGATGGTCCTGAGCCCGCGGCCAGCCCTGGGGTTGACCCTCGGGCATCACCTACCTCCAGGCAGCCCTAAACCACAGGGAGGTCCTGGAGCAGCCCTTTTCCCCTAACCTGGTCTTCAGGCTGCCCCCCCCAGGCTGGCCCTGAGGTGTCCCCTGACCTCAAGCTGGTCCTGAAGGGTTGCTCCCCAGATCTGAGGTGGACCCTAGGGCTGCCCCCACCTCACCTGCAGGATGATGATTAAGAGGAAGTAGAGGTTGGACACTCGGTGGAACTGTTCGAACAGGTTCAGAGGCAGGAAGGTGAAGAGGTTGTACTTGGTTGTACGAATGATGTTGTTCTAGAATGAAAGTCACCCGGCCCAAACAGCTGGCAAGGGGGCACGTCCCAGGCCAGGGGGCTCCCTGCACGCCCTGCCCCCCCGAGCCTCCCATACTCGCTTCCCCCACGGACGCTCTTACGGAGCCAGAATCCATCAGGCCCCAAGGCGGTATTCTGTGAGCACCTGCTGAATACAGGCCTCACTCCCACAATGGGCTCAGCATGCACGGTGGGCAAAGCCCCCTACCCCCGGGATGAGCACCTCCTGCACACAGGGGGCGGGAGGTGGTGCCCGAAGGGCGGCTGGTATTCTACAGGATGTGGACGAAGCTGCTCTCATGTATGAGGGAGGAGGGCAGAGTAGATGGTCAAGACCTGAGCAGCGAGGCCCTGAGCTGAGGGGACAGTGACCAGAGGGAAATGACACTAAGAAAACACGAGCTGGAGCTCAGAACAGCAGACCAGACAGTGAGCCAGGTGGATCCGGGCAGCATGGGGGTGGGGGGCCGGTGGGGGTGAGGGGCAAGAGGCGAAGGAGAGGGTGGCCAAGAAGGCAGAGAAAGGGGGGAGAGGAGGAGCAGGTGGGAGAGGAGACAGAGGAAGAGAGAGACAGGGGGGAAGGGGGGGAGAGGAGGGAAAGAAGGCGGAAGAGGGAGCAGGGGCAGGAGGAGGGATCCCAGCTTAGGCAGGAGCCGTGGAGGGGCTGGGCTCTGGGGCGCACAGACCCCCGCAGGCCACTCTGGGCAGCAGGCCGGCCGCGCCCACCTTGTACTTGTTCCTTTTGCAGCACAGGAAGACTTTCTCCTTGAACTGCCCGTGGTAGTGCGGGTTGTTGGCCTTCACCTCCCAGGTGAACTCTGTGAGAGGAGGAGAGAAGGGGTGAGGTGGGGCCGACACAAACACCCTCTAATGAGCCCCTGGGGGAGGGTTAATGGGCCCCTTCGGGTCCCAGGCGCTGGGATCGACCAGCTATCTCACAGCCAGGTATGCAGGCACAGGTAAACAAACGGAACAGAGGTGGAGGGGCTGCTGCCACGGCGGGGAGTGTGGACGGTGCAGGATGCTCAGATGGACTGGCAGCAGCCTGTCCCCTCCCACCTGGACACAGGGTGGGGGCCGTCAGGATGCTCAGATGGACTGGCTGCAGCCCACCCTCTCCCACCTGAGTGGCCAGCCATTCAGACCAACTGAGATAACCTGCTAAGGCCTGCCCCTCTGACAGACTGGTAGACTGCCTCCAGACCCAGGGTGTGGAGGTGTCCAAGGCACATGCCCAGGGGCCAGGCCCCATCCTTGTGGACCTGCCGGCAGCCCGTAGACTCCAAGTGGACTGCTCAGCTAGAGGACTGAAACCTCTCAAAATGAGGCGAGTCGCAGGTTCTCCTCAGGTGCTGGGGTCAGTGTCTCCCCAGGATGCCCCAGCCCCAGGCCCACGCCCTCCTCCCTGGCTTCTCTGCTGCCCCTCTTGCCTCACTTCCCACAGGGATCAGCCCGGGACCCGGCACAGGGAAGTGTCTGGGATGTTTGTTAGCTGACTGCATGAGGCTCCCAGTTTGTGCATCGAATCTTGCAGGATGCAGATGAGATAAGAGCCACACCTGGCAGTATACCTTTACTGACCCTGCCTCATTGCCACCCAGTCGCAGGACAAGCACCTGAGTTCTCATCTTCTCTGAAAACATCTTGGTAGCTGAGACTGGCCATCCAGGTGGAACTAGTGAGGGAGAGAGATTGGGAGGTTCTGGTGACCCCTGTGGCTTTGGGCAGCTCTGACCACCTCTCCTATCCACCTGCCCTCTGGCTGAGTCAGCTGCTGAGCCCCAAACCCTTCTAATCTGATGCTGCCAGTGTCTACCTTTAGCCCCACCATGATCCCAAAACTGCAATAGGCCCAGGTACCCATGCCAGCCACTGGCATCCAGGGACTGCCCCTCACGTCAGCTATCAGTTGTCCTTCACCGTGCCCCCTGTTCCCCACCCCATGGCCACCCTAAGGCTTGGACCCCCAGTATCTGCTTCTGGAGGCCCACGCCCTCCTCCCTGGCCTCTCTGCTGCCCCCCTGCCTCACTCCCCACAGGGATCAGCCCGGGACCGGCACAGGGGTGTCTGGGATGTTTGTTAGCTGACTGCATGAGGCTCCCAGGTTGTGCACCGAATCTTGCAGGATGCAGAGGAGATCAGACTGCTTTGGGGCCCTCCACTGAGCTGCTGTGGGCAGACCGGCTGCACAGCTTTCTCAGATGCTGGATCCTTCCCTTGGCCTCGGAGGCTCTCTTTGCACCCAGCACCCCCACCCTTGGCCACCACCTCCAACAACCTCAGCACCCCGGCCACTCTGCCCACGGCCCCACCAAGCTCTCGGCTCCATGCCTGCCGGCACTGCCTTCTCACCCTTCCGGTCTCTGCTCACACGTCTCTGACTCTCCAGACTGGGTCCTGCGCTGCCTGTGGACACCCCATCTACCTGGGAGGTCCCCCATTACAATTCTAAGCAGCTCTCCAGTTCCTCTCTTCTCCAGTTGAGCCACTGCTGAATCCTAACTTCTCAGGGCCTGAGTCATCCTGTCCCCAGGTGCCCAGGTCCCTCGCGGGAGGCCCTGGCTTGGGCAAGACCATCTCCACTCAGTGAAGAGCAACAGCGATGCCCCGGGCAGGCAGCACAGGTAGCGCGGCTGGGCTCGTGCTCAGGGGCCCAGCCGCGTGCGGGGCTTGTCCGAGGGTCCATACACCCACGACCCTTCCTCTGCTCATCCCGCCCCAGCTCACGAGAACCTCCTGTCTTCCCGGAGGGCCCAGGGCACCTCCCAGAGCCCCCAGGGGCGTGGCAGCCAACTCAGCCCCAGCAGAGCCCAGAGAAGGTGCGCGGGGCCAGAGGCAGCGCAGCGACAGGCCGGCCGCGGCTCACCTGCGCAGGCCGGGCTGGGCCGCAGGTGTCCAGGGCGGCCACGCTGGTGGGGCTGTTGGCCCGGCGTCGACCGGTGGAAAGCACACGGGGTGGGGGTGGGGGCGGGGCCAGGTCGGAGGCGGGTCTCGGCGGAGGGCGGGGCCAGAGCTGGAGGCGGATCTACGTGAAGGGGCGGTCCCAGCGAGGGGATGAGGCCAGGATTGGAGACGGGTCGGCCCTGAGGGCGGGGCCAAGGCGGGGGGGGGCGGATCTCAACGGAAGGGCGTGCCTGGATTGGAGGCGGAGCTGCGGGAAAGGCGGGGCCAGACGGGGCTGGGCTCTGGCACTGGGCGGAGTCTGCAGTAGGTGGTCTGGACCAGGCAAGACGGATGGAGCCCGCAGTGGGGCCAGACCAGACCTGGGGGTACCTGAGAGGTTAACCAGGCCAGAGGGGCGACCCTCAGTGCAGCACCCCTAAGGCATGGCCTTGACTGAGTCTTTGCAGCCAGAACGCCTCCCTTTCATTCACACACTGCGCCCCCCCGCCCCCCAGCAGGGTCCCTGGATGTGCTCAAATGCTAATCAGAAGGCTGGAACTTCGAGCCCAGTTTCAGGAGCCTGACACTCAGCTTCCGGTCTGTCAGCTTTGACCCTGGGGTTCAGCACTGTGAGATGTGCGTGTGAACAGAGAAAGAGGTGGGGACCCTAACTGTTCCTCTTTCAGCAGGGACATCCCACCCCTCCTGCTGACTGGGTACCCTGGGCCGACTCAGGCCTGGACACCGCGAGTGAGCCCCGGCCCCTGGGGATAGTGAGGTTAGCCCTGGCCTGGGGGCCAGCCCAGCACAGATGCCAAAACCACAGCACACAGAACTCTAAAATCCATACAAATGTTTATTCTGTCCCTGCCTGGGGAGGATGACAGAGCACTGGAGGGGATGTGGTCTTCAGGACAGCCCAGTTAGGGGGTGGGGGTGGGGGTGCAGGGCTGTGGAAGACGGTGTTGGCGACAAGGGGGCCCAGGTGGGCTGCAACATGGGCACAGGCATCCACCTACCCCCAAAACCTGGGGAGGGTCCTAGGCCATCTGAGGACGTCCAGCCCAGCAGGCAGAGCTTTGGGGTGTGGCTAAAGCACTGCAGCCCCTGGTTAGGTTGTCAGGCATCTCCCACCACCAACCCCCGGAGGGAGGGCCCTGAAGGCTGCTCCTCCATGCACAGGAACAAGGACTGTGCAAGTCATCATCAGATTTAAATTAAAAGTAATAAAAATAACAATACAAAATAAAAAAAAGACAACCTCTGTCTCAAATGAACCCGGCAAACCTGCCCGCCATCCCCCACCCCCCGCATCACAGAAAAAGGGACAGTCAGGTTAGGGCTACCCAGTGGGCACAGAATGAGGACCCAGCTCGGAGGGGGCGGGGATGGGGGCAGGAGGGTGGTGGTCCTGGCCTCCCGCGAGCAGCAGCCCCTGCAGGAAGGGCTGGCACTGTTCTCTGGAGACTGGCTGGGCCGTGGCATCCCGCAGCTTTTGCGAGGTGGCGGACAGGGTAACTCGAGGTTTATTGCACTGTTGGAAGGAGGCTGGGCTGGGACGAGGCCGGGGCAGGCGGGTGTGCGGGCTCATCGCTTGGTCTTGGCGTCTTCACGGATCTTCCAGATCATCAGATTCATGCAAGCGCTGGCATCCTCGCTGGAGCTGTGCCCGTCCACTGGGGGGACACGTGGGGGGTGTCACTGACTGTTGGGTTCATAGGAGACGCAGTGGGGACATGGTGGGTAGGGTCACGGTTGCTGGCACAGTAGGGACACAGGGGTGTTGCCAGTTGCTGGGGCTCACAGAGCATGCAGTAGGGACACGGGGCAGTTCACTGTTGCAGACACAGTGAGGACACGGAGGGGTCAGTGTGCAGACACAGGACACGGGGGGGTCAGTGTGCAGACACAGGACACGGGGGGGTCAGTGTGCAGACACAGTGGGGACACGGGGGGTCAGTGTGCAGACACAGTGAGGACACGGGGGGTCAGTGTGCAGACAAAGGACACGGGGGGGTCAGTGTGCAGACACAGTGGGGGTCAACACTGCAGACACTGGGGGGACAGGGGCGGGTCACTGTTGCAGGCACGGCGGGGACACAGGGAAGTGCTATCACTAGCTATCGAGGCTCATAGGGCCCACAATGGGGAGGGGGTGGGGATGTCAATGTCACTGGGGCAGTGTGGACACAGGGAGGGGAGTGTCACTGACACTGGGGCTCACCGTTGTCCTGGATGATCTGTCTGAGGTAGTCAGCCATGAGGTTCCGGAGGGAGCGCTTGTAGGGGAGGCCGAGGCGGTGTGGGAACAGCACGGCCGTGTCCACCACTGTGCTGTGGATAACCTGTGGGCGGGAGGTGGCTGTTGGCAGGGCGGCAAGGCCATCACTGTCCACCCCCCATTTCAGACCTCCAGCTCAGAGTGGTCACTGGGAGGAGTAGGTACCTTGAGGGCCAGCAAGTCACTCTCCAGGCTGTGCCCGATGAGGATGGTGTCCGCACTGAGCATGCTCAGTAGGACGGCCTGCACATCTCTCAGCGTGATGCTTGTGTCTGCCAGGTCAGCCTCAGTCACCCCGGAGAACCTGGGG